CCAATAAACAAAAAAATTGATTTTTTGAAAATTTTACGGTAGACTTCCCTCTTAACCATTCTTCTAAGTCAGTTCCAACAAATTCACCTCCGTTATCCGATCTCAAAGCTTTTAATTTTTAATTTTTAATTTTTGTCCAGTTTGATTTTCTTTCAGTAATATCAATTTCTTCAATTGATCTGCTGCGTCTCCCTTTTCCTTCAGTAGTTCTACAAAAATCACTTTCGAATAATCATCAATTATCGTGAAAATATATCTCTTACCTCCACGTGATAACCGTTTTATCGGCCCAATTAAGTCTATATGCCAAAGACCCATTTTCTTTCTCGTTTTTCTTCCTTCTAGTCTCGGGTGCGTTTTCTTGCACATCTTTCCCTCTACGCACGGTTCACACTGTTTTTTCTCAACGTCACTCTTTTTCATTCCAATCACTAGTTCTTCCTTCATCACATCTTCAATTGTCTTCTTATTTGCATATCCTAATCGTTTGTCAGGCATCTAGATCTTCCATTGCTGCCGCCGCTCTGGTGCTTATCCACGAAGACTTCACACAATAGGCATTTTCTTCTCTTACGTCTTTCATTTTAATTTCACCTTCATTCCTATAAACAACAGCCCCATGCTTATCGAATTTCACAACGAAACCATAATCAGTGATCTTTGCAACTGACATCAAATTCATATTAATACCTGGGGCATATAATACATTCTTAAGTCGTATTCTATCTTCATTTGATGACTGCTTTATTACTATCTCTCCTTTTCCACTAGAGGTTAGTTTTTTTACCTTCTCTATCGGCTAACGAAATATTCCTCTCATCCTCCTCGATACTATCAAACATAGCCTCATCATTCACCATGTGACTTGTCGCCCTTGAGTCTAGCAACCATAAAGATTTTTTCGACTTTACCTGTTTCTCCTCCTAGACGGTTTGTGTTGTGCCTCTCACCGTCATTACAGCCTCCTCTGTAGTTTTTAATGTAACTTCGCGTCCTCGTCCAGATCCTTTTCCTCGAGTAGATCCACTATATCCTCTTCCACGCTTAACGCTTCTTTTCGGTTCCTTACAGTCTTCAGCTATGTGATTAAATCCTTGGCAATTGAAGCATTTTTGTTTGTTACGGCACTTGCTCGATGTATGGCCTCTTATACCACAATTATAACAGCAGATGTCAAGCCTCGATCTCTCTCTCTTGCCTTTCTCACGTGCTCACTGTCTCTCTTTTCTTCTTTCCGCTTACTCTTTCGCGTTTCCTCTTGCTATAATGCATATCGAATGTCGTTCACAGTCAGTTCTTTTTGAGTTTCCAAAACACGTACTTTTGATCAAATTCCGCTCTCGGACCTCTAATTATATACATTCTCAGCACATAATCTTCTATGTTTTTACCTAGCTGCACACACTGATTTTTCAAAATTTCAGCTCTGTTCACAAATGCATCTACACTTTCCTCTTTATTCATTCGTAGATTTGTTAACTCACCCAGTGATCTGGCTCTTAATTGTTCCGTTTCAGCTGCCATATTATTTTTAATTAAACTCCACAATTTATCTACGTTTTTTTCGTGGCTATATTTTAATAATTGTGCATTGCTCATCGAGTTGATTATCACTGTTCTTGCAGCATAATTGTTATCGTCCCACTCATTCCACACTTTAAATTTAGCAGCGTACTCGGCATCATCTTCTTCGAGTTTTTCGGGCGGTTTTGTACCTATCATTTTCTTCCAAAGCTTCTTGGTTCTCAATATACCTTCTATTTTTTCACTTCACAAAAAGTAGTTGGTATCGTCCAGTGGCTCTACGCTTGAGAGATTCCAGTTCTCTGCCATCTTGGAAAGCCGGCTTTTTCGTTTCAATCCGCTTGTATCTGTCGTCTCGGTCGTCGCTCAGAAAATGAGCTGAACCACGCTCTGCTATCAGTTTGTGAGTGGATACAGCTCTGGAAAGGAATTGAAGCAGAATAGCTAACACTTTCTTGTTCTCTTGAAATTAATATAGGTTTATTATTATCCAGATACAAGCGTCACTCCCGATACAGAATTTCTCGCCGGCAGCGTGATGATCTCATCTTCCCCCGGACTTCCGATAACCTCTGACGCGCGACCCGCGCCACCAATGCTCGTGGTGATACCACCGCCATCTCCCAATGCCTATCTTCTGTTATGAGTCGATAAAGTCAACTCCACAGCAATGTGATTATTCTTTAATATCGTGGACAGCAAAATTTTCATTTTCGACATAGCGAACTTTCGTCCCAAGCACGACCTATGAAAAAAAGGGTCAAACATTAACAGATATGAAAGTATATTCGTATACTATTCGTGTGACGTCAATAATAAGTCCTAAGATGTTTCGGCGCATCGTGTTCTGTTTTACCTCGGGCCGGCGCTGAAGGGAATATAAGCGTAAGGATTTCTCTGCTGCGTGTTATCCGGTAGGAAATTGTCTGGATTAAAAACTAATGGATTCGGGTAATATTTTTCTGCACGGTATGCCATGAATGGAAGTGTCGCAATGGTGGCATCTTTTGGAAGAACGTAATTGCCTGTAACTTTAACATAAAGATGAATCGCTTTTTCTCTTAATCTAATTTACAATATGTGTATTTAAAATATGACATATACGCGTGACGACTAGTGACACGATAAAATTTATTCGGATTGGATTACCTATCCTTACGTCCTTATTAAGCACTCTACCGAATAGTGGTATTGCAGGAAGAAGCCTCAATGTTTCCAATATAACTCTTTTTAGATACTTCATTTCTATTGCATCTTGGAAAGTACACTGCCTCTCGCTGTCATAGAATATTGAGTCTAATTCTTCGTGGACACGTGCCTGCACAATGGAAGTAATTAAGTCGTTTCATTACAAGTTCAAATACTGTCTTTTTTGGAGTGAAATCCAAAAAATATCGAGAAATGGAATGACAGCCAATTAATTCGAATTTTAAGACTTCTTATTTTTATAAAATGATTTCTTCTACTTTGTGATGTGGAGTGAATATTATCACTGTGTTATAGAGTGAAATTTCATGTGAAAAATGGAACGTCTCGGAATTAAATCTTTTTCATTTCCTTTCAGCCCATATCCAAACAAAAATTTGGTTTAAGTCAACTAAATGGGTTTTTCAATGTAAGTTTGTCGCGAGTCAAGTTACCTTAATTTTCGAAAGATATCCCAAGGTGCAAAGCACGAAACTCGCGGTAGTTGATACGGTGTTGTAACCCTGTAACATTTTCGTTCATTATCTTCTATTTTTTGTTAAGATGTGTTAAAATATAAGCGTCCGCGTGGTGATGCCTTTGCGACACATGGAATGTAATTTCAGTGGTTTACTAGAGGAACTTAGTAAATCTAAAAATGCATTACTGCAGCGAAATTGATGTCACACCGCGAACAAGGCAATGTTGACATCATCTAAAACTTCTTTATCGGTCATTTCTCCCTTCTTCTTCCCATCCATCAGCATCTCCAACAAGGGGAATCGCTTTTTCTCTCCCACATCATTATCATCAATATCATCGAGATCATCCCTCGTGTAATGGTTGTGCTCATGTCGTCTTCTGTGTTCTTGGTTAAATACTCCGCCTCGATTTTATGCATATTTTTCAACTCTTTTTCTTCCACATCCTTCATTTTCTCTTGGATCACTAACTTCAGCAGCGATTGAACGGTATCAATCGCCTTCTGTTGCATTTCGGCTTATTTCGAGAATATAACAATTGATCCCATCATAACAACGGGTTAAAGTGCCGTCTGTGCACGATCTCGTCTATTCTGTGACATTTAAATATAAGGTAATGAAATATTATATAAGCCGTTTCAAAATAACAACGACAGAAACGCTTACTTCTTAACGGCCATTGCATAGTTAAAGCCGATGTGTTGAACCTTCTCTCTGCTAACACCCATCGCTGTTTCCATCAGCGTGTTAATAGCTACCTCTGATGAGTAATTTTGCCAATTGAATCGTCGGTTGATTTCATCGCCAAGTCGTCTAATCAGATCCTGGCTGTTCTCATAAAATACAGACACATACGTCCTTAATATTTTCATGCGAAACGTGTCCCATATGTTTTTCTCTGTTTTAGCCATGTGGCGCCGTTATTGATTAGTACACTATCTCCGAGCTACGGCTTAAGGAATCTATATGATGAGGATAAGTTTAGGTGTAAATAGAATCGAGAATTATACTGGTGTTTTTCAATATGAAGAAGCTTTAAATTAAATAAGTTCATATTGATTAATGGTCCGTCTCAGAACCGAACTGAAAATCATGACGATGTCAAAATGACATCAAAATGATGAAAACGTAACAATAAAAACTTACTTTTCGATCATTATTCTATTATTATCGCGACATTCTGACTACCTGTTCCGCCTGGCAATTAATGAATTGGATTTATACTTGTACTCCGTGGGTTTATCGATGTGCTCAGGATTGCTTAAGATTATCTCTATATCTTGCGCATCTGTTAGGAAGACATCAACTTATATTCCTAGATGCAATGATATTATTGGACCATATTTAGCAAAATATGTACTGGCTGTAATTATTAAATTTTCTGGATTAAATTCTCGATATAGTAATGCATGTCCAATAATGGGTGCACGTGGTGGATCTGGAAGAAGATAGGCAGTAATTTTAGCACATTTATTTACAACGAACGATTATGACTCAAACATAAAGTGGGACATAGCACGATAGAGAGTTTCAGTTCTTATTGAGGTCCTAGTCGCGCTGGAGCCCTTACGTACGTTGTAACTTCAGTGAAAGTTGCACTGCATACTTGGTCTCGATATAGTAGTATTGTGCGATCAGTGTAGCGATAATTATAGCCAGTAGAGAATAACTGAAGTTCGGTAGATATGATATCACCGTTAGTAGAGTGTCCATCGTCACGCACAAGTATTGTTACACTAGATGGATCGGATATGATGTGCTCTGTTTTTCTTTTACGTTATTCTTATATAGATCACTAATTGTGCTTAAGGGACATTCTTTTACAAACCGAACACCTTTCTTTCTGACCGACACATTTTTGATTTAGCTAAAATTTGTTTTACATGTTCTATATGACAAAAAAGATATACCTATTCGAGGATTTTTTTTTTGTTTCATTTTTTTGGAAAATAGAAAGGATGTAAAATTTGAGAATTTGGTGATGTTTGGCTTGAAGTATATTTTTTAAAAATTCATAACTCTGGTTGAGCTACAGATTTCATTTTTTTTATTTTGAAGGTAAAAGAACGAGCTTTAATAAAAAAGTACTTGATAAAAAAATTATTAACAAATGGTTATAAACTGAAGTTCAAATTCAAATGGTTATAAACAATTAAAATGTTTAAATCGATTTTTAACAATTGCCCCACCCTCGTATCAAGTTTTTAATATTTCTATCGTGTTCTACGTCAAATTTCCTTTCGAAAACGCTCTTTTTATCGATGGACGAATAATTATTACTATAAGAAAAAATTAATTAATCTAGCGCGGTTCGTCACATCGGCGCGCGGGTCATACCGCACGGCCCATTTTTGTCTCATGTCGTTTTTCTCTGAAATATTAATGATTATTCCATTTTTTAAATTAAATAATCTCTACTATTATGTTATATAATACTGGACGAGGTACTTATTAACTAATTATAACATATCGAAATATTAATAAAGTAATTAACAATTTTCAATAATGATGTTTTTTATTTATTTATTTATTTATTTATTTATTTATTTATTTATTTCCTCAATTTTTTATAAAGTTTTCTTGGCATACAAATGAGATTATTTAATTAAAAAAATGGAATAATCATTAATATTTCCGAGAAAAACGAAATGAGACAAGAAAGTGGGCCGTGCGGTGTAACCCGCGCGCCGATGTGACGAACCGCGCTAGATTAATTAATTTTTTCTTATAGTAATAATTATTTGTCCATCGATTAAAAAAGCGTTTTCGAAAGGAAATTTGACATAGAACACAATGGAAATATTAAAAACTTGATACGAGGGTGGGGCAATTGTTAAAAATCGATTTAAACATTTTAATTGTTTATAACCATTTGAATTTGTTAATAATTTTTTTTTCAAGTACTTTTTTATTAAAGCTCGTTCTTTTACCTTTAAAATAAAAAAAAATGAAATCTGTAGCTCAAATAGAACCAGAGTTATGAATTTTTTAATAATATAGTTCAAGCCAAACATTACCAAATTCTCAAATTTTACATCCTTTCTATTTTCCAAAAAAAATGAAACAAAAAAAAATCCTCGAATAGGTATATCTTTTTTTGTCATATAGAACACGTAAAAAAAGTGTTAACTAAATAAAAAATGTGTCGGTCAATTTTCGACCAAATCTGTACGGTTTGTAAAAGAATGTCCCTTATACGTTTTCTCATTTGCGTAGCCAGTTTTTATATTGATTGATCGAATGCAAATGTATATTACCATAAAAAATGGAATTATGATCAAGGTTACTTCGCAATCGAGGAAAATAATGAAATGCATCTTTCTTGTTTCCAGACTACGGACTTATAAATTATGGACACTATTATGTATACACTCGTGCAATATAATCCTGTTTCATCTAAAAAATCTACGTATCTTAAATTATGTTAAAAATTAAAAAATTACATTGTGCATACCGCGATGTTTGGCACTGTCGAATCGCCCTTTGGCGTGATCCACATATTTCTCAATGCCAAGTAGGGCAATTTAGTAGAGTAGTTTGAAGGAAGAGAGAGACAATAAGATGTTGTTGCTGAATGAAAAACTAACACATTGGATATTATATTAATATATATATGCTGTTACGAGTTGCCGCTGCAAAGGCACGCGAGAACGAGTAAGATCGAACTCAACCTGATCGCGCGCACTCTCTCACGCGTGCCTTTGCAGCGGCAATCCGTCGTAGTGACGTGTATGCAATATCCCGTATAGCGTAGCGGAGGAACGCTTCGTATAATTATTCACGTAAATATTGAATTTCTCTATTTTATTGAACGACTATATTCTTCAAATCTTTATTTCCATCGATATTGTAACCTATTATAACTTAAGTCTCTTAAAAGCCGGTACTTACAGTTGGCTCTCATATCAAAGATCGTCTTAAATTTAGTCTTCTTAAAGAAAGTTTTATTGGACGTCTTTACAATGGTACGAACGTACAGCCAAAATACTTGTTTTACGCGGTCATAATCTTTATGGAATTTGTGAGAAAAGGCCCGCGATCAAACATTTAATTATATATACTTCCTTACTTTTCTTAATTTTAGGCGTATTATCACACAAATACGAGGTCTGTTCAAAAAATATCGTGAATTTTGAATTTCCGTGAGTTACGTATATTCGATTTTCGATTTTTTTG